AGTCGTAGCGGTCCGCGTCGGCCATCGCCCCCGGCCCGGGCTCCGGGGCGGGCGCCTCGCCGGCCGACGCGGACCGGCGCGGCACCCGGCTGCCCCTCTTCCCCGGCCGAGCAGCCTCGAGCAATTTTCGGCCCAATTTTCCCCGGGCTTCAATAACTTTTGGTGAAGAGGCCACTCACCGATGATGGTGGTCCGCTCTATATCGCCTCTCTGAGATGCCTCAACGAGCCGCGTGGAGTCGATGTTGCCCCACGCCAACTTGCAACCATTTGGCATGCTTGTCGGCCGCTGACTTGGCGGCCGGCGTCGGCACGGTCGTGTCTTGTTTGGCGGCCGCCGGCGGCGGACCCATAATCTCGCCGGCGGCCACTGGCAGTCGGCTTCAAATATCTAGTTCAATGCCAGTGCGCAAGCGCGGTTCGCGCTAGCGCGCTAGGGAGAAGAAGCGCCAGGCAGCCGCCGCGAGGCCGACGAAGATGAGGACGACGGCGCACGTGATGGCGGCCTTGCGGATGGCGATCTCGCGCTCCTTCTTCGCGACGGACTCGGCGATCGGAGCTCGAGGGCCGGGCCGCCGGGCCAGGCCGTGCGGCGGACTCGGAGGCGCGTGATCCAAGACCCCTCTTCTTACCGCCGCGACAAAGTCGCCTGCAGTCCGGGAAGACCCGCGGGCTGCCCTGCGGGCGTGCACACCTGGAGGAGCCCGCAAAAAGCCCGCCACACGGTCTTGAACTGCAAGTTGCAGTCCTTGCTCTCGAATTCGAGTCGAGCATCTTCTAAGCATCTGGGGTGCTCTCAGGGGCCTGCGCCCTCCGTCGCCGCCTGTGCCGCGTTTTGGTCATCCTTTTGCCTCTCGACACCGCCGCTCGCAGCCCCATGTCGGCGCCGCCGCGCCGGAGCGGGCGCGCGCGCAAGGAGGTGCGCAACGAGGATGCGACGGCGAATTTGACGGATTCCGAGGACGAGGCCCCGTCGCGCCGGCGCAAGGCGCCGAAAGGCGCGCCCAAGGCGCCCAAGGCCAAGCCGGCGCCGCCGCCGCCCGCGTCGGCGGACGGCCTCGCGGCCGCGGGCCTCGCGCGCGTCGCGGGCACGGGCGCGGTGGACTCGAGTCCCGACTGGCCGCCCGGCTGCCGGCTGCGGCGCCTCGACGGGCTGTCGTGGCGGTCGACGCTCGCGTACGTCGCCGTCGACTTCGACGCCGCGGTCCACCTCCAGCGGCTCTGCCGGCGCGGCGCGGCCCTCGCGCGCGTGCTCTGCGCCGGCGGTGGGCCGCCGGGCTGGCGGATCCACCTGAGCGCGTCCGTGCCGAAGCGCGCCCGCGACACGCTCTGGCGAATCTCCCGGCCGTCGCCGCGCATGGCGGCGCACCTCGCCGCGGGCACCTGCTGCCTTTGCGGGAAGCCCTGGACCGGGGCCGTGCTCGAGCCCTGGGGCGTCTTCGCGCACGAGGCCTGCGCGCGGCCGCTCCTGGCAGGGCTCGACTACGTCAAGGCCCCGGAGTCGGACCGGAAGCGGCGCCTGCCGCGCCAGCTCCGCGACCGGCTCTTCGCGACGCCGACGGGCGGCGCGCGCTACGACGAACTGCCGAAGACGACGCTCCAGGGCTACGGCTACTACGGCGTCGTCGAGTACGACGCGGTCTGGGGCATGAAGTCGTGGGTCGTGCCCGACTGCTTCACCGTCGACGCGGCGCTCGACGCCTGCGAGGCGGGCCGGCCGGCCGGCGAGACCGCGGCGGCGGTCACGGCCGTCAAGGCGCGCGTCGACGCCGCGCGGCGCACGCACGACACCGCGCGATACCGCCAGGCGGCCGCCGCACGGGCCAAGCTGGAGCGGGCGGGCGGCGACGTGTCGTCGCTCACTGTGCCCGAGATCAAGCTGCTCTTTTCCGTCTTCTACAGCATGGACATCACCGGCGGAAAGGGGGGCCTCGTGGCGAGCCTCGAGGAGAGGATCAAGGCCGATCCCGGCGGCCTCGAGCACACTCTGGACGAGTATCTCAGTCGAAACGAGCCCGGCGCCCGATACGCCGAGGCGACGACGGGGTCTCCCAGCAAGCCCGCCGCGCAGCGAGCGCAACAACAGCCGCCCGATAGCGTGCTCGATGCCAACCTGGCCGACGGCCAGACCATCGAGGAGATACTGACCTTCTTCCCCCCCGCCTCCCCGCCAGGCGAGTAAGCGAAGCGAAGCGAGACCGTCGCAGCGAGGGGGAGATTACGACAAGGCTCAACTGAGACGCCTACTTGCAGTTTTTTTTCTGGAACGTGTCGACCTGGGATTTCGAGTAGGACTTGGCCGTGCCGCCCATGAAGGACGCGTTGGGCTTGTCGCAGAATTTCTGCGGCGGGGCGCGCGGCGATGCGTGGGGGGCGGCTCGCGGGACGCGCGAGGCCGCGCGCGCGCGCGGCGGCGGGGGCGCGACGCGCCTTCGTCGTCATCTTCGACACGTCGCTGCAGCTCGCCGGGAGCTTGCAGGACGACTTGGCGTCGCCCTTGCCGCCCTGGGTGTAGGTCACCCAGGTCTTACCGTAGTCGATCTCCGTGACGGAGAAGTCCGTGTACTTGAGCGACAGGTCGGCGGATGTGGCGCTCTGCGCCGACGCGCCGGCGAGCTCGGCGAAGAGCGTCTTGAACGTCGATTTCCCGGAGCACGGCGCCTTGGAGTCGTTGCAGGAATCCTTGGCGACGGCACCCGCGAGGCACGCGAAGATGAGCGCGACGCTGCGAGCCATGGGCAGCGTATATCGAAAAGGCAATCGTCGCGAATGGTTAACGTTTGCGTTTTCTACGGGCATTATTATCAGGACGTGACGGGAAGTCCGGCCATGATGGGGCTGCCCCTGCGCCTCTTCGTCACGGCGGCGGCGGCGGCGAGCGCCCGGCGGCTCGAGGAGGAGTCGTGCTTCGACATGGTGCTGACGGATTCCTACGCGGACACGTGGGACGGCACGACCTACACGATCACCGACGAGGACGGCGCCGCCGTCGTCACGGGCACCATGGAGACCGAGGCGGCCAACGAGACGGACGTCGTCTGCCTGGCGCCCGGCTGCTACGCGCTCGTCGTCGACGGCGGCGACTACCTGAGCGAGAAGGGCTGGACCCTGGGCGCGCTGAGCGGCGGCGCGCCCTACGACGGCGCCTTCACCGCGGGCGCCGACGGCTCCGTCGCGGACGGGTGCGCGATCTGCGTCGACTTCGTCATGAGGGACAGCTACGCCGATACCTGGGACGGCACGACCTACGCCTTCGCGTCGGACGACGGCGCCGCGGTGGCGTCGGGCACGATGGACGCCGAAGCCGACAACGAGACAGACGCGATCTGCTTCCCCGCGGCCGGCTGCTACGCGTTGGTCGTCGACGGCGGCGACTACCTGAGCGAGAAGTCCTGGACGCTCGACGCGCTGAGCGGCGGCGCGCCCTACGACGCCGACTTCTCCGTCGACGCGGACGGCGCCGTCGCGGACGGCTGCGGCGACGGCGACGCGGAGGTCTGCGTCGACCTCGTCCTCTTCGACGCCTACGCGGACACGTGGGACGGCACGACCTACACCATCACCGACGAGGACGGCACCGCCGTCGCCACGGGCACCATGGAGACCGAGGCGGCCAACGAGACGGACGTCGTCTGCCTGGCGCCGGGCTGCTACGCGTTCGTCGTCGACGGCGGCGACTACCTGAGCGAGAAGTCCTGGACCCTGGGCGCGCTGGCCGGCGGCGCGCCCTACGACGCCGACTTCTCCGTCGACGCCGACGGCGCCGTGGCCGAGGACGCCTGCGAGGCGTCGTCGTCGTCGGCGAGTACGTGCGTCACGCTCGTCTTGGAAGACGAGTACGCGGACGGCTGGGACGGGACCTACTACACGATCACGGAGTACGAGAGCGGGGCGCTGGTCGTGAGCGGGACCATGGCCTCGGGCGGCTACGAGGAGGTCGAGGTCTGCGTCGAGGACGACCTCTGCCACCGGCTCCACGTCGGCTGGGGATCGTTCCACGAGGAGAAGTCGTGGACGCTGGGCGGCTCCGTGAGCGGCGGCGCGCCCCACGACGACGAGTTCGCCGTGCGGAACGGCGCCGTCGTCGACGGCTGCGCGACGTCCGCGCCGACGGAGACGCGCGCGCCGACGGCCGCGCCGACGGCGACGCCCGCGCCGACGGCGACGGCGTCGCCGACGCCGGATTTGCTGGTCGTGGCCACCTTCGACGAGCTCGTCGCGGGCATCGCGACCGCGGGCCGCGTGCAGCTCGCCCAGGCCATCGCCGTCGACGAGGAGATCGCTGTCGCGGGCAACGTCACCGTGGACGGCAACGGCTTCGCGCTCGACGGCGGCGGCCGGACCCGCTTCTTCAACGTCGAGGCCGGCGGCCGGCTCGCGCTCGCCAATGTGCGGCTCGTCGACGGCTACGACTCGTCCGACGGCGGCGCCATCCACGCCGCCGGCGGCCGCGTCGAGCTCACGGACGTGACCGTCGAANACTGCGCGTGCGGCGATCTCGGGGGGGCGATAGCCCTCTACGACGGCGCGGCGCTCGCGCTGGCCGGCGACTGGGCCCTGGTGGACAACCGGGCGCCCATGGGCGGCGCCCTCTACGCGGCGTCGTCGACGGTCGAGGCGGCGGGCGGCGCCATATCGCGGAACGCCGCGGCGTCGGCCTGCGGCGCGGTCATGGGCTACAAGTCGCGACTGGCCTTCGAAGGGACGACCTTCGCGGACAACGCCGCGGGCGCCAACGGCGGCGTCCTCTGCACGGAGTACGGCACGGAGAACGACGGCGTCGCGGGCGCGGGCGTCTTCCTCGACGACGTCGTCGCCGTTAACAACTCCGCCGCGGAGGACGGCGGCTTCTCGCTGTCCGACTCGTCGACGATGGTCGTCCGCGGCGGCGCCTTCTCGGGGCACGCCGCGGGCGGGTCCGGCGGCGTCCACGCCGAGTACTGGCCCGG